AAACATTAACAAAGTACCTTCTTTTTTCGTCTTCTGCTGAGGGATCTTCTGTCCTGGTTGAGAGAAAAAGCACAGGTCAGGTCAGCTCCTTGGAGCAGACATAAACACGTGCAAACAAACAAAGTAATGAGTAGCTGGATTGTTGAAGTGTAATTGCTTAGCTGCAAAACACTGAGGTATGCTTCTACTGCACTTTGGGGAATAATGCAGATTCCCTTTTGGGAGTTCTGAATAACTGATGATCACATTGAACTGCCAGTTTGTCTTTAAGGTCCTGAACCAGGGTTCCAGTTTTAAATGACCTCAGTTTTTTTTAAGGGTTGACATTAAGGTGCACCACCTAATCTACTGCATGTTACCTCAGCGCAAGTTAAATAATGACATAAGTGTCAGGGGTGTTATTCCTCTGTGTGTGTGTGTGTGTGTGTGTGTGTGTGTGAGCCATATTTTGCTTTGTATTACAGTTGTAGGAAGCCATGATCAGCTTTAGTGAATCAGTAGTGTGCTGCTGTCAGCTCTCGTGGGTCAAGTGCTGGTTGCACAGATGGTTATCGAGGAGCATATGTGAACACACCCACACACACAAAGACCTATATGTACATTACACACACACACATACGCTCACTGATTCCAGGAGATGCTATAATGACCAAGGACATCTCATCCTTTTTTATCACACTTCATAGAAAAATGTGAAGGGTCTGAATTGACTTTTAACGGAAAAAGAGCCAATTTGGATGTAGATAATTAAATATTTATATATTTTTTATAGTGAAGTAAGTTTTTCAGTATTGGTAGTGGACTTTGTCAAGCAGGGATGAGACAACCTTTCAGTAAATTACATTTTAGTGCATTTATCAAACTACGGCTCACTACAGACTGCGCTACATTCGACCAACATCTAAACATCACACACTAACTCTAATATAAATATAAGCCCTACTGTAAATCATTTCAAGTCATGATGAAAATAACTATATCGTTCAATATAACCTTTTTGTATATTTTTGCATACTCAGTGTTTTATTAGGTATGTGATGTACTTACACATCTTTGGAGGCTTCTGCTGGCCCTGAAAACAAATGAAGAGACAAGATTTTATTCATCTATTTTATAAAAAGTACTAACAATTAATCCAGTTGTTCATTGTCAATTGTTTATTCATGCTTTAATATAAAATATATAACTTTAAACTCTCCTCTCCTTTAAATCATGTATACATACTATTAATTTGCAACAATAACTTCAAAGGAAATGTTCTTTAATATCAACATGATGTAGAAATGTTTTAATGAACATATATGAAAAAAGTATTTCATTTGTTTTCTCTTCACAATCAGTTCAGAGCATGATTAACATTAATCCAGTGATGAAAGAAGTACTGAAGTCCCTTACTTAAGTAAAAGTAGCAATACCACAGTATAAAAATACTCTGTTACAAGTAAAAGTCCTGCATTCAAACTGTTAAGTATAAGTAGAAAGTATTAGCATCAAAACTAACTTACTTAAGGTACTAAAAGTAAAAGTACTCATCATGCAGTACGGCACATTTAACATTATTGTATATCATGTTATTGGATTAGAATTACTGATGCATTATTGTGCACATCACATTTAATGTTGCAGCTGGTAAAGGGGGAGCTAGGTTTAACTAGCTTTAAATAAAATTGAAGCCAAAAAATAGCATGAATATAAAAGTGGCCATCTTGCTTTTGTGATGCGTTTTGCAACCAGATTCTGTGCAGTAGTGACCAGATATTTGGTTTTAGATATCCTAACCTGCCTCTGAAGGGTAACAATTGGACAGACGGCATACAGTGTAAAATGCCTCCATTTCGAATAACACCCACAGTGTTCATCCCAGTGTTATTTGACTCTGTCTGACTACAGACAGACAACAGCTCATTCTTTTTGGAACCACAGGCAGTCAACTGAACTTGATTTGAATCAAAATGAGATCATAGTACGTTCAGCTGGAGGATAATCTAACTTCATGCTTGAATGTACAGCATCACATTGATAACAGCGGGGGAACAAAAGCCTCGAATCTGTGCTTCGATCATTTTTTTGCTAGATCTCATTGTGTTGCTGTAGAAATGTATCTTGAAAAGAATGCAACAAGCATAACATCTAGTAGCAGAAACAGCAGTGAATTTCATCCCTGTAATGAGAATGGAGGGCTTTTTTCATGATAAATGGCTGAATGCTGACATGACACAGGGGCATATTCAGCAGCATGACAAAAGCTCATTCATATCCAAGGGTGCACATCTGGGTGCATAAGGGTTGAGCAATGCGATATAAAGTTTTCAGATGCCACAGCCTGAAATTGGAACATTCTTCCTAAATGACTTTGGTTATAATCAGATATTGCCTGGAAACTAAAAACAAAACACAAACAAAACGAAAATCTTATGAATATTGTATATTGTTACCTCAGTGTTTCAAACAATATTGTGTTTATATTGTACACCAGCCTCCACTTAGGTGTCCATGGGAGCAGTTATAGTAATAACACTTAAATCTGCTTGCCACGTTAGAGTGTCTTCTAAACATTATTTTAATGTTTATAGGCTGCTTATAATGCTCATTAGTTAACGTATTAAACTACAAATGTGTGTTGACACTATTATAGATCTTAGGTTACAATGATAGCCTATAAAATAGAAGCAAGATGTGCTTCTATTTTAATTCTACAAAATAATAGCTTGGGAAACAATGTCCTTTGACTCTGGCCTGGTGTCAGCGCACATGGACAAATGAATGCAGACACCGATTCACATTTGTCCAAGTGACAGGATGTCACATGTCCTTGACATTGTGCTAAACACTGACCTCTAAGAAAAAGCAGGAAAAATGGATTAGGCCTGTGGCACAGAAATAGCAAAGCTGCTGTCCTTCATAGATAAACATGACAAAATCAGACACCTCCGCAGATGCTGTTTACTGATAGTTTAACTTCAAAGTAGGTTTGATTTAAAGCAAAAGACAACACTGGGTCATGTTTTCTGGTAGCTATCTGCAGCCCTGTTAACATGCCTGACGAGCACTGATTAGGTACCTTCAAACAGACATGCATTCACACAAGCACAAGCACACTATACAGCTTTAATGGGCACTGGTGATGAGGTAATCCTGTGGATACTTCAGTCTATTTATTACTTTAATTTGACTGTAGTACTCAGTAATTTGCTCAGTATAATTTAAAACAGGTTTTGTATCAGCCTAAACCAGAGAGAGGTGTTCTTTCAGCACAAGCCACAATAAAGGAGGATATTTTGATAGAACCACATGATACGGTAATTTCTTATTTCAAATGTGATCTCCAAATTTATGAATGAAACTTGGCTGCTGAAGGAGAGTTTCAAAACCGCATGTTTACAAGCACAAGCAGCATCAGTCAAGCGGGCAGACAAAGATGAATGGATGGCAGTAAAGGTGTTTATCTTTCATCCTCAAAATCCATGAAAACTAGCACAAATACACCAAGAAGAAGAAAAATACATAAACGGAGAAAAACAAGTGTGACCTGTGGAGGACGTGCTTTTGCATCAATACAGACATTAACATTTATTTTCAGCATCAGTGCCATATGATTATCAAAGTGGTGCATTCCTAAGGCTACTGGTAAAATAGGGGAGACCCTTCATGACCGACCCACCATCCGTGGCTTTGGACCACTGTGTGTACACGCACAACACATGCACTGCAGACAAAGAGCCAACTGATGAACACAGGGGATAAGAATTAAACACTTTAATGGTCATTTGATATAAATGATTATAAGACATCGTCTGTGTATTTATGAATGAAATTAAGAAGCTGAGAGCCTCCCCTCTTCCCACGCACACACACATAGACAGACATGGAATGCAAGGGTAACTGTGACACACTTCATTTACATTCAAAACACTTTTTCTCCTTGGTGCCGATACAGTGACATCTCCCACTCACCCATTACCATGTTCTCACACTCACACACACACATTAAAAAATATATATATATATATATATATAGAGAGAGAGAGAGATGCACACATATATTTATGAAACACTCACTCCCTCCTGAAGCGCTGGTGGCTGAGGAATTGCCACAACCCATTTTGCATCGATGCAGCCACTGTCCAAGCAGATTGGAGACACTTAACAAGAAGAACAGCCAGGAGGAGGAGGAAAACAGGGAGACCCAAAACACATTGGGAGAGGAGGTAAAAGGGAGGATGAGAGTGATAAAAGAGAGACAGAGAGAGGGAATGTCAAAAAAAAATATGTCTCACAGAGCTCTCCCTTGGTCGTGTCCCCCTCCCCTCTCTTCAGTCTATCCTCTCTGCAATGCAATGAAGAGCTGAGAGTGAGGTGAAAGCATGGAGAGAGAGGTTTATATGCACACACACACACACACACACACACACACACACAATGAGAGAGAATGAGAGAGAGGGAAGAGTGTGAGAGAGAGATGCTACGGCCTCACGTGATTTGCTCTTTTCCTCCATCCTGACATGGTTGCCCGGGAAACCGGGAAAAGGAGGCGGGGGGTGGGTTATGACTCACCCAATAGCGAGCTTCCGTTTTATATAAAGGTGAAAAAATGAAATGCATGTAAGGAGCATCAATATATCAGCCTGTGTGTGTGACATCCTATAAAATCCCCAAATTGTGTTTGCGCACTAAAATAAAAAAAGGAACTTTATGTTTTTTCTGTGGTTCGGGCACACAAATCGCCCTTTGTTTGAACTCTTGACAATGAGTAAAAGCAAGAAGCTGGAAAAGCCTTGAACAGTCTTTTCACAAATCCATGAGGGTCACACATAGGTTTCAGTTTATAGCTCCCAGTAAATCTCTTTTTCTGTCATGCCATTGCCTGTTTTGACAAGACCAGTGCAGTCTATAAGTGGAGTTTACATGAATTACATAAGCGCCATCCTGCAGGGAAAGTAATTCTCACATCCAGACAGTGGTGTTATCATACGATGCTAGGATGTCTGTGTGGCTGAGAATGAAGGTCTTTTAGTTTTCAGTAGCAAATTCCCTGTCTCTGAAAAAGCCTCCAAACAAGCAAACACAATGACATCACCAATTTTTCAGCAAAAGTGAAAGTCACATGTGCAAGTCACAAGCAAGTCTCATGTTTTAACCTTCAAGTCTCAAATACTTAAATTTGTGACTTAAGTCTGACTCGAGTCAAGTTGTAACTCTGCTGTACAGACACTTATGACTATAAGTTGCTGTTTGCTTGTATATGAAAATCATGTAGTCATGGGCTAGTCTTCTGGGTTCACTTCATAGCCTCAGCGCTTCTAATTTGGTCTTATTTGGGTGGAAGGTTCTGACACCTGTTTGGCCTGTCATCTTTTGTCTAGAGCCTGCAAGACATAAAGTGGATATTAGGACAGCAGCAGCAGCATGGCTCTATGTAATGATTGCCTACTAGTCAGTCTACCATTTCTGTCCAGACTGAAGTATGTCACCTAATGGATGGACTGACACAAAATCCGTATGAATCCTTTCTGACACTGTTGTTGCCCTGTCCTTTTCTGCAGCACCACCACAAGGTTCCCATTACTGTGAAATATCTGAAAAACTTTAGAAACATATGTGAAACTACTCCAATGTGCCTTAAATTAGGAAATGTTAGCATGCTAACACACTGAACTAGGCATGTTGTTGGCATATTAGCATTCTTTGTATGTTAGTAAAGAATTTAGCTCAGAGGACTGCTGTACAGCCTCACATAACCTGCTGCTGTACCTTAGTCCTTTAGTGTTGCCTGATGCAACATGTTTTATTTGAAGGTACATTTTGCTCACATGCAGAAACTGACTTGTACGAAAGGGCCATTTAATATACTTTTCCATTCGGATTTCCAATCCAGAAGGTACAACCCTACTTTCTCTTCAGACTGTGTTTCCTTGGTCAGCTGAATCATTGCTTTGTATAAAACAAGTTAGCTCCACTGACATTAAGCATCTCTTTTTGAGTGCCAAACCTGGCTGAGCAAGCTAACACATAGTCAGTACTGAAAAGCTTTGTCTTGATTAGAAGCACCAAGAAGAACCAATTAAACAATGCAGGTCCACAAGGGAGCAAAGAATGTGTACTCCTGTTCAAGCTGCATGGGAGCTTGATGAGGAGGCACTGCTTGTCCCAGCTTGCCTATATTATCAAGACACTAAGACATGACCAGTCAGTCAAACTGTTATTGAGATAAAAGGGAGACAATTTCAGTTTTACATTTTGATCAGCATTTTAGGTGTGTTAGATGTAGCCCTGGGTTTTTAAAAAGCATACAATATGGTGGAGGTATAAATTACCTCGAAATACATGAATAGAAAAAAAACAGAGGAAGCATGACATTAGACAACATTGTTGGTCAGGTTAGCTGACATTTGGAGAACACAAGAGCATGGTGAACACTGACTTTATCATCCAAGATCAGTCAAGAAAGGGATTTGCTTTTCCAGATATGAGCATCTTTTGCAGGAAGTAATTAGAAAGCCAGTAGCTCCAACAGTACTCAGTACATGTTCTGCCTCTAATTTGGCAAATATGTCTAAGACAAAACAAGACTAGCGCTGGATTATAATTACTTCCAGAACTTTTTAGTAAGTAGATGTGATTTTAAAAAGCATATGGTACTTCATAACTATGTTTTATAGTGTATATCTATTCATTTTCCTAAAAATATCATATATTTATTTTGCTAATAAATATAATAATAGATAGTTGCATTATGACAAACATTTTAAAGATCGTATCTACAGAGGAACCCAGAGGTCTATAAACTACACATAATTTTGACATCCCATGTGGAGAGAAATAAATACTGTACATGATTGAATTAATAGCGTATGTCAATTATTTAGCAAAAATGCCAAATATTTGCTGGTTCCAACTTTTCAAACCAGATGATTTGCTGCTTTCCTCTGTTTGATATTATGATCCAAATTAATTACATTTGTTTGACTGAAAATTTGTTTATTTACTCTATTTTGTAACACTATAAAATACAGGATTAATTAATTTTTGAAATAAAATGCTATGCCAGTTACAGCCTTAATGATTTAAGCTGCTTGAATTGATTTTATATAACAACATAAGATCTGCTTTAATTAAAATGGATTCACAACTGCTACCATCATTTTACTGACCATATTTCTGTACTTTGTCGTAATACTTTGAAAGCAGAGCTTTTAATGACAAATGAGTATTTTTACTTTGTGATATTTCCACTTTCTTCTTCACCACTGTTAAATAAATGTCACTCTGATAAATTTTTAGTCAGACAAGACTTTAAGGGATCTTAACCTTATTAACATTTTGCGCAGACTGATGTGAAATAATTTATGAAGTCATTTTGTAAAGATGGGTAATTTATTTGGGCAATGTGAGGAATATCTTATTTTAAAATTAGACTCTGCAATTCTTCACGAAACCACATGGGGTCAGTGTTGACACGAAAATGATAAAACGTTAAACTACCTCTTATACTTTATATACCTACTTTACTTATAAGCTATAATTATCCTTCGAGGTTTTGTTATAAGTCCAAGTATATCTCAGAAACAGAAACGAGTCAAATGTAAAGCATAGAAATACTATTACTTTATACATAAGATACAGTGGCGGGCCGTCAGGGCCAGCAAGGCCTTCTCTGCTGGCCTAAACACTATTAGAAGCACTGACCTACATTTACAACCGAAGTTCTAATATTTGTTCCATGAAATTGTATTAATTTAGTCCCAACAGCCTGTTCTCCTCATTTCGTAGTATTTCTCTTGGCTGCACTGCTTCCAGTACGTGTATGTGGATGTTCGAGGTTTGGGGCTTACGATGGAGCTGAAACACAGAGACCACAGTTGGTGTTGTAGTGTAGAGGTTTTGGAGTTGTCTTAACGGGGTTTCTTGCTTTAGTAAAAACGGTATTCACCCTCAATACCTCTCTCTCTGTAATGCCACACTTTATTATATTGCGTTTTTGTATAGCATTGATGGTTTCTATAATTGCGACGTACAGTGGTGGTATTAAGAAGTGAATTAAGTCGGGTAAGTCTCCACTGAAGGCCCAGGTACCAAATGTACGGCCCGCCACTGATAAAATATAGCTGTTCGCTGTTCACATTGCTAAATGATACTGGGACCACCTCCAACTCATACGTGTACTCTCACCCAGCCAAAGATCTCTGGGAAATTGAGTCCATGCTCTAAATAATTCAAGCCCTTATTCCCTTCTCCTCCACAGCTAGCAAGATGCCGGCCGTACATCACAAATTGCTCCTGGAGGAAGCTTTGCAGGACAGTGCTCAGGTAGGCCTGTGTGGGGTTTGTCGTTTAAAGACACAAATATCACACAGAAGGATGTTACGAATTCTGAACTTAGCTTACTAGCACATAAGTATCTTGTTTCTGGTCTATGCTGTTTCCACTGGTCGATGACAGCTCTCAATTGACAGTAGAATTGTAATGGGTGTAGTTAACCCTTTGCCAAGAGTAACGGCACTCTCCTACTGCAATGTCCTAATTTACACAGCATGTCATTATCATGGGCGTTTGAATGCCTCGGTTGGATTTACAAAGCTAGCTGCTCGCCATAGGGCTTTCCCCGTGTGTTACACATGTAGGTTGTTGATGTTCTGTATAGCCTACATTCAAATTCATACTCGTATGAAGGATGCCACGACCATACAACTCAACCAGAAACACTCTCCTGTAACCACTTTATTTTCGACTGTCGTATGAAGTTTTGGGAACATTTGGATCAAAGGTCTGAAGTCAGACTGGCCTAATTCACAGGATGTGGGAGGGGTTCCATTATCGGACTTCCAGGAATTAGTCAGTAGCATGAAATAGGGCAGTGGTTACCGTATGGTGTTTGATGCTTACAGCTCGGGAATGCAGTATGAAAGTTGTTTACCAAGGCCTTGGCCTCATGCGTGGATATCATTGATTACGTAATAGTGAAATCCTAGACAGTCTTTGCTAACATGCACATCTAGTGTAGCCTGCATGTTCTGGTGTGTGTTGCATCACTCCCTCTCCAAACGGCTGATTCCTGGTAATTCTGCTCAAGTGCAACCTATGCCAGTGGTTCATTTCTCTCCTTACATTTTAGCCCTTCAAAACACAGGCTGTTAATAAGAAATAGGCCTGGGGCTTTTCTACAATACAATGCAAACATGTAGTTGACAATATTAGAGATTAATTCGTGTTTCTCTGAATCCTTCTGTGGCGCAATCCAATTTATATGGACTGTAAACAGACTTCAAGGTGTGTTCCTCTGCTGTACCTGCCCTGCCTTGCTGCACCTGCTTGGTGGGGGGACGACACCCAGACAGGATTTTCTTGGTTTGCATAGCCAGCCTGCAGTAAAATCATTATGCCTTTTAATTCCACAGCTGCACACTGGAGTTTTCTTTTCTTCAGTGTCTGTGGTGTAACTCCATACATGCCCAGCTCCTCCTGAATTGTCATTGACTGCAGCAGCTAATGAATATTTTACACATTTGATTAATGTGATGATTTATTTACTGATTAATCATTTAATATATTCATTGTTGTTTTTTTATATATATAAAATCTTAGATAATTGTGAGAAATGCTCATTTTTATTCCCCTGGCTCCAAAATGCTGCTGTCTTCTCCTGCTTTGTCCAAATCCCAAAGATATTTATTTTACTAATATGTGAAACAAAAGCAGCAAATTCTCACGTTTCAGGAGCAGGAATAGAATTTTTTTGGCATTTTCACTAATTGTTGAGCCTGCTTACATTTATCTAACTGTTGTCTCATCTGTCCACACCTTAATCTTGTTCATCAAATGTTCTATGTCTCAGACTCGCTCCCTGCTCAGTGTGTTTGAGGAAGATGCTGGGGTGCTTACAGACTACACCAACCAGCTGCTACAATCAATGCAGCGGGTGTTTGGAGCTCAGGTACTAAACTAAACACAAACATGCGCACAGTCTGTTCTCTTCTATGACTTAGTGAAACAGCCAAATTTTCAAACAGAAAAATAAATGTTTTTTTTTTTTTTTTGTAGGTCTGACCAGGAGTCACAGTTTAATTATCCTGATTGTAGTTGAATTGATTGTAGTGTTTTTGATTTTTTTTTTTTTTTCCTGCCCTGATACTGAACTGGAGCTGGAGTTTCAGTATTTGACCAGAAAAACACCCAGAGCCCTTAAGAGCAAAGAGCAGCTTCAAATAGTTCCAAACTGTCAGTTCATATCCATTGTTTTCTATGGGCAACAGTGGGATTTATCAGCAAATTACTATTTTAATGGCTTGTAGAGCCTTGTAAACTAATTCAGTCTTCTGTTGTTGCATATAGCTAACCTGATATAGCTAATTAGCTAGATACCTAATCTATTAAAGTGACAATATTTGAGAGAGACAGTCAGAAGGTTATGAAATGTGTTTTGACACATGTCGCTAACTTAAAATGTCACAAGTATAATTATTGCTATTGATTTCAACTTCTTTCTTTAGATGATAGCAGCCAAGTCAGTGTAACTCTGTGGTGATGCTCCTAGTGTTTGGAACCACTCATTGTTCCCATAATCCACCATTACTGTAATAAAAACAGTCCTAATAGAGTAAATGAAGGTGTTGTCACTCTCCTTCTTAATACACTCTGCAAATACCACACTAGGATATAAAATTTTCAGCTTCACACATGCGAACCGAGGAGTCTTGTAGAAACAGCTGAGGGCCTTTGACCTTTGGGAAGAGTGTGTGTATAAGGTTTTGATTAACTGTTTCTGTAGACGGTATCTCACTGAGCATCGTGCTGCAATGTTCCAGTCACAAATTATGCTTTGTTTTTTGATGAAAACTTAACTTCTGTAACACAATTCCAGAACCAATAATAGTCCACTGGTAGAGGTGGCATTTATGTCTCCATTATCTTTTTCAGCATTTTTAATGATACCCTGATTCGCCTGCTGTCCTTGCACCTCCATTTATTCTTTTATGATATACAGGAGCTGGAAAACTGTGATAAATGCAGAAGCTAGTGAAACACTTCTAATAATTTAGATGTTAAAATTTCTTTCTCTTTTGTGGTCCCTAACAGAGTGAGATGGGACTGGCCACAGAGCAGCTCTCACAGCAACTCCTGGAATATGAGAAGAAAGTAAGTACAGCTACCATGGTGGTAACGTATATACAGTATATAGTTGGGGTGAAATAATTCAAATAACCATGTTAATGCGCTCTAACAATTCTTGTACACGTGTCTGCCACATTTAATCTTTGCTTGGTTCTTTCCGAAGTCTCTGTGCATGAAAGGACCTTGAAGTATAAGTGGCTCTGTTGGTAATCTATCATGGTGTCTGGATTTGTGCAGCGAACAAGAAATTAGAATAGTTGCTAAAGTCAGCACTGCGAGTCTAATAAATCATGATGGAAAAGAACGATATGTGAATCAGTTCATGTTGTAATACATGCAGAGTGAATGCTGGATAGAAAGAAACACTACAATGACCTGAAATGGATGCACATTTTAGCTGCTTTAAACAAGGTTTACAACTCAGCATCTTAGCATGCGGTTCATTAGCATCTTTGGCTTTGTTCCATGGAGGTAATGTGCCAAATTTCCTGGCAGAATAAGGTATTTTTAACTGCTTCTTAGGCCTTAGTTTAAACTAGCTCGATGCTACAGTGCATTTACCCTCACATTTTCTTCTTTCTAGAACTTTGCCCTTGGCAAAGGTGATGAAGAGGTAATTACCACACTGCAGGCCTTTGCCAAAACTGTAGGGGAGGTAAGTCCTGTGCTTTGTGTTGCAGTTTTGTGGTTTTATGTGTATATTTGTGCATGCTTACCGAAGAAGAGAGGGATGACAAACTACTGTAGTTGGTTTTTCCTTCATTTTACAAAGAATATTGCACATGTGCTTCCCTAGCATTTCAGGGAAAATGACCTCAGTGAAAAGACCTGAGCATTATCCTCCTTGTCAGACCAGAACTGATTGCATATTGATGCTAACATGTGGATATGATGCCTATTGCACTGGATGGATAGATGGAGAGAAGCACCGGTGGGTGGCAAATAGATGGAGGGGTGTGTAGGCTCGGGTACTGTATAGAGACACAACTGATGGGCCTGTCACTTTGAGCCATGGGGGTCAACAAGCCTGCCCTTTCAGATTCAGGACACACACTTGTGTTCAGAGCACACAGGTTGATTATTTGACCTTTACCTCATCGTGTACAGAGGAGAAGTCACCTCATACTGCACCTAATCCTGTGAACTTTAGCACATGTAAAGTCATTCAGATTAACATGGATATCAGTTAGATGTTAGAGCGTAGCCTTTTGATAAGCAGACAAAATGTGCATGTGTGTTTGTGCACGATATGTGGTCCTCTTTCCAATATGAGTGTAAACAGCAGGTTTTATTATCCTCTTCACAAATGTACTGTTCCACAGAAATGGCTTTTTATGAGGTAGGAGAGGCTTTGTCTGCAGTTATACACCCATTTCACTGAAAATGTTACTTTCCAGCTTGCTGCAGGAATAACTGGCAGCAAATGTCATTGTACATATTAAAATAAATTGAAATCCCTCAAGATGTTTGGCGAGGGTACATCATCTGTTTGTGTCCCTGTGCAGTGCTTGATATTTTTTGCATAATCTGCTTTGTGTTGTCCAGCTGAACTCGCTCCACTCTGAGCTAGCCAACCAGATGGCTGACAGCATGGTCTTCCCCTTGATCCAGTTCCGAGAGAAGGACCTCACAGGTACAAACGCACTTGCACAACACTCATTATCATAATATGATTTTGATATATTATTACAAACATTACATTTTAATATTTGTTTTGAACATTAAAGTAAAAAAGCTCATTTGTTTCAGTATGAGAAGTAAACCAAAACTACAGGACATAGTCGATGAAATGGTTTCTCAACAAACAGCTAAAGTTGTCTACTTTAAAAAGCAATAATGTATTTTTAAGATATGAATCTGCAGTAGATATTACAATAAACTTTGCTAAACATTGAATTTTTCAGAGATAAGCACACTGAAGGAAATATATGGCATCGCCACTGATGGCAAGTACATACCCTTTACCCACTGACTGTACTGTATATACAGTATGATGGACATGTAGCATCACCACTATGCAAAAGTGAAGCCAAAACACTGTGAATATGGCAGCTGCCATCTTGCTTTTTTTGCAACCAGATTCTGCACAGTAGTGACCAGAATTGGGAGCGACAGCACTGGACACCAAGCCAAAATCCAATCTGTTTTATATACTCAAATAACTTATTAAAAACAAACAGAACAATGAAACACGTGTTTCAACATCAGCATGATAATATCTACAGAAACGACCACTGGGAAAAAAATTTATTTGGTTTTTATTGTGGCTTATGTTCTATCCACTAACACAGAGGTGGGATTTATGACCTATACTGAAAACAGCCACTAGGGGGCGATCGATTCACAGTGCCTTCACTTCTGTAAGCTCTTAAGCCTGACCATCAGTTTTTATACAGTCAATGCTTCTGCTAGTTTCAGAAAACAGTGATAATCTGTGGTTACATTGTCATGTTCATATCCCTTCTCTCATCTTCTGCAGAGCATGAGGCAGCTATGGTCAAGTACAGCCGATTGCCCAAGAAGAAGGAGAATGAGAAGGTAGTGTGACTACAGTGCTTTCTCAGCTTCACCGATGGTGCTTTTACTCCATTGACTTAGGGCTGTAACAGTCCCGTTATGCTCTTGTAAGTAATGGGAGCATTTTTATAAGCAGTTGAATTACAAATGGCTGGAATTAAATATTCCTCGAATGCCAGGCCTGTTGTAAGACTGTCAACACAATACACTCTAATGGCTGCACAGATGTGTGCAGGAGTAGGATAAGTGTTTGCATATGCATGAGTCTGTGTGCAGAGCTTGATAGTCATTTTATATTGGCCACGTTTATACACAGCACCAGTCAAAGCTTTACACACTTTCTCATTCAATGGTTTTGCATTGTTTCTGTGATGTTCCACGTTGTATATTAATGTTGATGAAGCCATCAAAACTATGAAATAACACATTCGGAATTGTGTAGCAAGCAAAAACAGAGTAAACCAAACATTATATAGGTGTATACTGTATGTGTTTATATATGTAATCATATGTGTTTAACCCCATCCTGCCTGGACAGCTGAAGGCAGACTTGGTGAAAGAAGTGGCCTACACCAGGAGGAAACAGCACCAGGCCTCGCTGCAGTATTACTGTGCCCTCAATGCCCTGCAGTATCGCAAGAGAGTAGCTATGCTTGAACCTATGCTAGGCTACACACAAGCACAGGTAATGAGCAGCTATTGGCCTTTTTTCTTTTTGATTCAATTGATAAAAATTGAGGAATTGTTTTAAAAGCCCACATTCTAACTTCAAAAATGTGAGGATTTGATGCTTTTCTTTTTCATGTATAATGAAAAGCTAAATATATTTGGGTTTCGGACTGTTTGCCCAGTAAAACAAGTATTTCAAATATTAAACTGTGGAAAACTGTAACAAGCATGTTTCACTATTTTCTGATACTTTAGAGACAAAATAATTAGTTGAGAAAATAAAGGGCATGTTAATCCATAACGAAGAACATGTTGTAATTCATATTGCACTCAAAGTGCAACTGTAAAAAAAAAAAAAAAAAAAATCTCAGAAACCCATTATTCTCTTATCTCTCAGATCAACTTCTTCAAGAAAGGCATTGACCTGGTGTCAAAGAAAATGGACAGCTTCCTCGCCTCTGTGTCCAAAATGACACAAAGGTAAAGACTATTCCTTTAACATTGATTTTCATGTGTACAGGACATTTGATGATCTATGATTAATGTAAAGCACAGCTTGTTGTCCATTATCCATTATTAGCCAGATTTTACTGTGATGCTCTGCAGAACAGGCATTATCTGCAGTTATTTTTGATTTGCTTATTTGTGAAGGAATTATTTATATTTTCCTAAGTAAGTTCAGATGAATTATGAAGTTTTTTTTTTTCTTTTTTCGTGTCTAGCATCCAGGCCCAGCTGGACACGGAGGCGGAGGACATGCGTGCGTCCCAGAGGGAGCTTCTGTCTGTGGAGGACACTGTCTACACACCAGATATGGACAGTGAGCCTGTCAATCGCACACTTATCCAGAAGGCTGGCTACCTCAACATTAGGAAGTAAGTCTAATTACACATGCTACACCTGTAGCCTTCCTAGCATATCTTTAAAAATATAAACAAACTTTGAATCTGAACACAAAAGAGAAAAGGTTTTGCATCTCTGGCTAAGGTTGCTCAGTATACACCTGAGCTACAGTCAGCAATAAGTCTATCACAGCAGACAGGGTCAGGTAACATGTTGACAGTGTGTGGTGTCAGCTTAGTGCAGACTGGATGTATGAGAAGGGAAAATTCTTAATGGTTTCAGGGGGCAGGACTGCAGTGTAGCCCACAGTGTGATTTAGTGAAATGCCAGAGCTGTCAAACTCTCTCTCTCCCTCATATACATCCAAAGTCTTTGACAAATGTCTGTGACACCAGAGAAAAGGTTTCCACAGAATGCCATTCTGTTTAATGACACACAGTGCCAGCAGCCTCAAATGCTTGTCAGATGGAGCTGGGTCCGGAGAACATTTGCTTTTTAGAATGGTTTCTCAGTATTAAGGGTCTGAGTCACCCACAGCAGCATGGAGCCATACGCCTTGATATTAATCAAATGAATATTTGGGAATATTTTTCAAACGGAATGTACTACAGGAAGAAGGCGTACAAATGAGCAATTCAAATGAGTCATACACATGTATGAAACAAATCAGAATCAGCCTTGTTGGCCAGGTGTGTTGAACACAAGGAATTCAACTCTGGTACAGTGGCTCTTAATGTGTGCGTACAATGCTCTTCTTCTGTAACGCAATGAGTAGACAAGTAAACAAGGCTGAGAGAACAGAAGAAGAAACGGAATGTGCATTAGGAAAGTAAAGATAAAGTACTTGTATAGAAATCTATATACACAGTTTAGATGCAGTGGCTCAGAATTAAACTCCATTGTAGTTTATAATTATTTGTACATAAACAATGACCAACCTAAATTCAAGGGTAACTGTAATCAGCACTCTGGAATACAAGCTTGAAAAATGTTATAGGGAAAACATTCCCCAGGTGAATTTATATTTCCATGTACCAAAGAAATGAAGTTTCACAGGGTAATGCAAACTGGCGGCATGTGACACTCATCAAAACACCTTCAACCATTATTTTCAATGCGAGCCCACACACCGGTGACCAACCCACGATGCTGTGCCTCAAAAGAATGAAATACTTAAATACTCACCCATTTTGGCAGTACCCCACTGAATTTGTGCCACTCTTGGTGTGACGCATGTTACATGATGCGATGCCCCAAATGTGTGTTGCCCTTCGCTCATTTAAATGTTCATTATGCCACCAGCAGAAGAAACCCACTCTTTCTGCCCCTTCTCTGTGCTCCAGTAAAACAGGCCTGGTGACCACAGCCTGGGACCGACTCTTCTTCTTCACGCAGGGGGGGAACCTCATGTGCCAGCCTCGTGGGGCGGTGGCGGGAGGCATGGTGCTGGACCTGGACAACAGCTCCGTCATGGCTGTGGAGTGTGAGGACAGACGCTACTGTTTTCAGATAACCTCCCCCTCAGGCAAAACGTATGTACACTTTTCTCCATATCTGACAATGAGACTAATGCACAGGTATATATCAGATACTGAATTCTGTTCACTGTAATTGATGACTGCAGATCACTGATTCTACAAGCTGAGAGCAAAAAAGAATATGAAGAAGTAAGTGTGAAGGAGGCTGTGCAAACAGCTGGGCTTTGATTTCTTTATGTCTCCACTCCTAAGATATCTGCTGCTACTAATAGAATACTGGATCAGCTGGTTTTCATAAATGCTTTTGTGCCTGGACATCGTGACTGGCCTGTCCCAGCTGGTATCGGTCTAGTGATGTCAGCTGGTTGATGTCGGACTTGGAGGAAAGTCCTAATGTGGATCTGTGTTTCTTTCTCAGTGGATTTGCACTGTGAACAACATCTCCAGACAGATCTACCTGACTGACAACCCAGAGGTAAAATTCTCATTTTACCACCGATCTAAGAATAAAACATAAAGAAACCAAAGTGTAACTCCAACTCCTAAACAGTTGATTGATTTTGTTAGTTAAGCCTTCATCCATGTTGTGATCTGGCTATCTGTTGTTACACCACTTTAAATAATATTGGAAATACATTTTCAGTTTAGAAGAAGTGTGTGCTGCCACATGCCCGTAGTCTCTTGTTTCCCAAGTGTCTCATACATGTTCATTTCTTGGATGCTTTTCAGTCCCAGAATTTTGCATGTTTCTCCAGAGACAAACAGGCGTTGGTTGTGTCCAACAGTGCTGTCTCTCTCGATTATTTTCTCAACATGATAATCAGTCGGTAGTTTACTGTATAATAATACCATGAGGGTATCAGATACCACTCATCAGGCAGGTGTAGTGCCATGCAACCACAAATTGACATCTCAGGTGTGTATGTGTACACTAATCATTCAAAACTTTGGGGTCACCACCATTTTTCCAGTTTTTAGTTTGACATTTAAGCAGTTCAAGTCCAGTGAATAACCTTAAATAGTATAAAGCTAAGAAAGAAACTGCCAAAGACAATAAATAAATAAATAAAGTCACCAATAACTAAAAATCTATGTGAACCTCATATACAACAGGCCTTTTTCAGGGATGCATACATAACTTGCATACTCCCTGCAGCAGTGGATGTAAATTAAGCTTTGAAATACTGATGCGAACGCTTCCTACAGGTATCCCAACTGTGGCTGATTACTTACAACAAATTCTGTCTGTACAAAGGCATTGTTGGAAGAGTTACTCCACCCTCTGAAGCATTGTTTGCAAGAGGGAATTAACAAAGGAAGTCAGGCTATAGAAATATTTCCACACTGCTGTGATTGTAGTAGCAGGTTAATCATTTATACAGAGATGCTGCATTGTCCCCATTTCTCCCTGTTAGGCTGTGGCCATCCGACTGAACCAAACTGCCATCCAGGCAGTCACCCCCATCACCAGCTTCGAGAAGAGACAAGAAGGCTTGCCCAACCCTGACAGGTCAGGCATGTTACCTGCAGAAATGCTAAAGATGTCAAGATTTACAATCACAACACAACATAACTAAGTACTTTTCCAAAATATATAATTTTGAAAAGTGACGACTGCAGCCGTTACATGCAACATACTTTTAGTATATTTTTGGTTTTGGCTTTTTATTCCAGTGTTCATTATGAAATACTAGTTTTTCTTTATGTCTCTGCAAAGCTGGAAAGAAAACATCATCCTCTACATGTATTTCTACTTAAGTCTGGATATTAGGTCAGTTTACTTCAGGAGAGAAGGGAACCTGAGGGTTTATCATGTTGTGAGTCTTAAAGTGTTGAGTGTGTGTGTATGTGGCAGTATTACACAGTTTGTGTGTGGAAAGTACAAGCCAGTATGTTAAATTGCTTGTGAGATTTTATGATAGCTAGTGTTGAGTGAGTAATGATGTGAAAAACAAGCTAGAGAAATGTGAGAAGTACTGTCTTTTATGTGTTCTGCACATTTACTGTATGCTTCAGCTGTCTGTAATACTGTGTGGTGCTGGTTGTTCTGCTATATAGAGTTTTAACTTCATCATTTTCATCATTGCAAAGAAGCACTAAACACTACTAGTCCAGCCAAGGATGATGGGTGTGTCATTAATTTTGAGGTTGATTGATTATAGACCAGAGTACTGGACAAAATGAAATTTGGCCCAGATGATGGCATTAGATGAAAAGTCAGGAGGACTCATCCCCTGTGGCCCATGAATATGTGTGCCAGATTTCATGGCAGTCTTTACTTGGATTTACTTGTTTTTTTTTCCCTCCTTAAACCTCATGTTCATACTTTGTCAATCCTGCAGAGCAAAGCCAGGAGCCATTCATGTTGACAGCAGCAGTTCCCAGAAGACGGGGTCTGCCCTGGAACCAGAGGACCTGATAGCCCCTGGGACGCCCATTCAGTTTGACATCATGCTGCCAGCCTCCGAGTTCCAGGACCAGAACAGAGCCGGAGGGAGGTGAGGAGGCGACTTGGGATGGTTAGTGATGAGGCACTGGTGGGTGGTGATGCTAATTTCTTGAAAGTTGCCCTCGTAGTGATTGTTTCAGCACATCATTTCCAAGAAACTCAATGCTTCCTAATGGAGCAGTGTAGTTAGTTAATCTTTTGTTGGTGTGTGTTCCATTCCTGACAGACGTACAAATCCATTTGGAGACACGGACGATGAGTGTTCTACAGAAAGTGATGGTAACGGTTTTTTATTCATCAAAATGCAACTTAGATTTTCTGAAGTGCCGTTTGAGGTCAGCTCAACCTCCTGTGTATGTGTTTACTGTCCTTGAATGTTTATGCTTCTGACATGTGCATGATGTTTGCATATTTTCACAGACTCCCTCCTGCAGCAAGTATTTGCCGTACGCTTTCAGGGCTCCATGGCAGTACGCTGTGGCGACAATCAGGAGGTGATATATGAAGCCATGAGGCAGGTGCTGGCTGCCCGAGCCATCCACAACATCTTCAGGACCACAGAGTCCCACCTAATGGTCACCAGCAGCAGCTTAAGGTAGAATCTATATCTTTCTGTATATACAGTATACACTTTTAGTTAGAAATTACTTGGTTTTTAAACCAAACTTTAATGGTTTGGTCACATTTTTGGTGATTGTCCTAAAATTGTTCTTACTTGTACATAGGTAATCAGTTCCCTACCAAAAACAGAGACATCCTAGGTGTAGGCCAAAGTATCGCTTCAGTGTTTTTTATTCTTGTATAACCTCTTGTTTTTAAAACAGGTTAATTGACCCTCAGACCCAAGTTACAAGAATAAGTGTAAGTATCAGTTAATCTAGTCTCTTTTCATTAAGAGGGTCAGACATGGTTTCTGTAATTCACCTTTTTACTCTCTACCTCACCCCTCTCAACACTCATCACTTCTCAGTTCCACATTGGAGAGTTGTGTCAGTTTGCAGCCCACCAAGAGAATGGGAGGCTGATGGGATTTGTGGTTGAAGGCAGAGACTGGAGTGACGGAAACGAGGAGGGACAGCCCTCCTTTAGTGCCTTCATCTTTGAGAGCAACACAGAGGGCGAAAAGGTTGATAAAGCAAACACTGGTGTTTTTGGACATGTTGAATGATGCACAAATGTATACTGGAGTTTATCTTTTTGTTTTTTTTCCTCAGATATGCTACACCATCAGCTTGGCAAAGGAAATAACAGAAGCCAAGAAGGTAAAGGAAATGCTGAAAACTGTTAATCTTCTAGGCTAACAGGCTCCAAATTCAGCAACAGTGTGGCTGCAGAGCTGAGGATGTGCACTTTTAAACTTGTTTTTATTATGTTTAGCTTCACCTTGTGTATCAACTGTCATTTATTTACTGTTAATTTTGATCCTTTTTAAATCTCATCTCAAAGCCATTGCAATGGTTCTATTTTTTTGTACAAAATGTGTTACGTTTGAATATATACATTTTTTAGTCTTTACAGCACCGTTGTTTTCAGTGGCCAAACAGCAGAGAGATTCAAAGTAAAATAAAAATCTATATACATTGGATATATTAATAAATATACTGTAATTAGGAACTTAGCTGGTTAAAACTTTACCTCCCACAACAGCGTGTAAATACATTCAAAATTGATTCCAACAGTATTTTTGTTTCCAAGGACCCAGAGGCCCTGGCCCAGCTGATGAAGAACATGCCTCTAACCAATGACGGCAAGTTCCTGCTGCTGGAGCCTGAGACGGGCAACACGACCAGTGGAGCAGGACAAGAGGACCTGGAGTCTGAAGCCTAGTCCCACTCAGGACCAAAAGACAACAGGGCCAAGACCACAGCCACAGACCCACTTTTACCCAGGAGAGAGGGCTTCTTCCATATGAAGGTATCTTCATCACCACCTGACTCTGGTACTGTGACACCCACATTAGAGAGTGTAGTTCACTTCCACTGACCTGTATTACTAGATTTCCAGTTTTTTGTAGTGATTAAAGCAGAAGTCTTTGGCAGGGCGAGTTACCTGGACATAAAAGCACATCTCCGGGATGTTAGATTAGATTTACTTTTCCGTGGTTAACCTGTACCATAGGTCTTATCATTTGGGGCGTTGTCTCTTTTATACACTGCTGTGGGTGGTACTTTCATCAAAAGGGACAGTATACAAGTACTGACTGTGTTACAATGTAATATTCCAAGTCATCTAACACAAGGTGATGAATCATTTGCTTCAGTTTAGGTTTACATTTAGTTTAGGTTTACTTAGTTTGAAGTGTGTTTGCAGAGTTTACTCCTTTAGTTTACAAGGTAAGGCTCTCGTGCAACTACATTGGCATTTATGTTGTCATATATAAAACGTTATTGCACTTCCAAGGTTTATCTGTTTAATAATAACACTTAATGGCTACAAATTGCACTACCTGAGAAATTCGAAGGATGTGAGGCTTTTAAGACAACAGACCTAAAAAGATTCAAATCATCTTTTATTTGCAGAGCGGCAACTGTTGCATTACTCATTATTACGGTTACTCTGTGCGAGCGTACGTGCCTCGAAGCAGGGACAGACATAAGTGATTAAACTGCACTCTTGTCACTTTGAGGTTATATGGGCTTTGCATCCTGATTATCTTAAGACTTCCACTAACTGAATGAATGTCATGTTTGACAAAATTCTCCACTAACTGTACAAAGTCTTAAGATGATCTGTAAGCCAGCCAGGTACTCTACTCTTTGAGCAGCCCAAATATTCTTCAGTAAAATCTAAAGTTCTTTGCGCTCTATTTGTGGAAAGTCTATGTAAATATGATCTGTCTCAAAGTGTGATATTTAATCAGTCAGCTGCATTAAAAGCTTTCAGATTCAATATGCTAGGACTGACGTGGTGCATGATTAATTTATGGCGCTCTCTCGTTCCCTTTGCAGAAGATTAAACCTCTATACTGAACTGTAATGCTAATAAAAAATAATAATAATAATAATAATAAAAAATCCAGTGTTGCAGTAATGCATGTTGGCAGACCACAGTGGGATATTATGTACTCACTGAAAAGCATTTCACTCTTTGCTCAAATTTATGAATGCTAATCAAAACAGCAGAGACAGCAATTGATCTGCAAAATCCTCTCTGTGGATCTGCACATGCAGTTTTTTCTTTTCAGCTCATTCCAGCTGCACCACTGATCTCAATGGACAGTGGAAGCCCACGATGCACTACGTGAATACGTTTTGTACTGTGCAATACAGACTGGGTCAAAGCCATTGACCTGACGTTAATCGTGAAGGTTACGTTGTGTGGAACACTCTGCTTTTGTCCGCTTGCTTTTTCTACTGGCAGAAACGTGTTCAATAAGGATAAAGTGTGACTATTTCATGTACAACTGCCTGCTCCAGTGCTGAAATAATCAGTAATGATCATGTGGATTGCTTGTGACAGTAGCTGTTGTAACTAAAAGAATAATTTTGACATTTGGGGAAATGCACATTTTGACTTTCTTACAAGGGTAGATGAGATGATTGATACATTGACCGAGTATGTCAAATGGTAAAGCTGCCAATTCATTGTTAAATTGATTATGTGTCTGATTATTTTTTGGCTGCAGCCAGTAATAGTTTCAAGTTTAACCCTAGCCTAGATAGAAGGATTTTATGAAGTCAAATTGTATACATAACTAAATTAAAGCAAGCTCCACCACACAACACATTTTCACATTGAATGAATGCAGTAGGAAAATGTGTCCAAACCTTTGGTCTGGTAGTGGAGGGTGCAGGAAACAGCTTGTCAGATGCAAACTGTTCTTCATGTGGCTAGAGCCAAGAGTAGTCTGACACATAACCTGATGTAAACAACTTCCCAAATGTCAAACATGACCACTTATTTCCCTTGCCTGATCTAAGTTTTATTGGCAGGGAAATTTTAGTCCATCCAGGAGACTTGCCCTTCTTCCTTAAGTGATGGTTACATTTCAGTTAAATTATTAAAAACTACAGGACAAGGTTACTGCACCAGCCTACAAGAGTCTTGGATGTTTTTCCTGAGTTTAACAAACTACACAAGTAAGTGTCTGTAGTGGTCCTTTGATTGATGGCTCAGTTGGTGAAAAGAGTTTCTCCAGCTTATCCATCAAGCCAAGAACCCAAATCTGTCTGCTGCAGCTCATTACACCTACTACAGCGGTACTGCATAGTCTTGATATTTTTGCGTTGTAAGTGATGGAAAAACCTGGTACTCATGGTGTAGAAAATAAATTTCTGTAATATAACAACTGCATTTTCTCACCCTCTTTCTTCCTGTAAATGGCCGAACTTGACAGAATCCATTACGTGTAAGCATTTGCACCTAATTTGTCCTAGTTTTCTAAAAACCAATGTTAACATGCAATCTTTAATAAATGATTTTTTTCTTACTTGGGTAAATGTTTTTTTTTTTACATCACAAAACTTCAGGATAAGCATCAAAGGATAGAGCATTTCTTAAACAGCATTTTTGCACTTACACACATTTAATTTATATGCATTTAAAATCTATACAGCCAGAAGTATGTCTGAACATGGGAGGCACTAAGTGCTAGTTTCAGCTCAATTAAAACTCTGAAGGCATACAAAGTGTACAAGCAGGCTGATTGCCTGATGTGGATTCAGTGTCAAATCCATGCCTAACATACAGCACAAGTGGTTTAATGTAAGAATCTCAAAATAATTTGTCTTAGAAGTGACTCTAAAATGTAAACATTTATGGTACACAGGTGGTGGATTGGCTAAGTAAAACCAAATAGCCTGCCTCATGAAACTGTCACATAAGCTCATGTATAACTTACACACCAACACACGGCTCAGGAGTCTTTGTAGTAGCTGTTGAAGTTGATGCGGAGAAGGAAGTCCTCTAAATGAGGCTGGTATCCTCTGTTCACCAGCTTGGTCACCACTGAAAGACAAAAATGGCAGCATTTGTTAATTTTGTGGTTTCCCACCACATACAGTATGTGGTTATGTCACCTCACTTACACAGAAACATCTTAGAAAAACCAATGGCTGCAGCAAATGATAAAAACATTGACTCATCCAACACAAATGAAACACCAGTGACTATGTAAATTTACTCATGTACTTGTACTTTATAGAGTATTTCCATTTTATTCTACTTTATCCTGCTACTCTATTTTTCAGGCAGATACTGTACTCCACTACATTTATCTTACAGTTTTATTTACTTTGCCAATTAAAATTATACATGACATTCTGAAATAGGTCAAAACCTAAATGTTTTTTTACAGTGGCCCTAATCCTCTTCCATAATTACCTCTAATCAAGAACCTGATACTTTACTAATTATACTCAGCTCATTTGAACCCCAGTTCAGCTCAGATTAAAGCGAAATGGTAAGTGCAAAGAAACCTACTCTCCCAGCAATTAAATACTGCATGAACAAATTTAGCCTAGATTCAGTGCTTTAGGAAACAAACTTTCAATTTGATAAAAACTGACAACATAGTATCAATACAAATGTGACTGAAAGATATGCAAGGGACAATATTTTGCTGTTCCTGTTCCTTTATAACACATACTTTTGTTTATATAAATGTTAATCAACTCAAATCATTGTTAGTGCTCACAACTAGAAGGGATCAGAATAGCTTCACATTGATCTGGTTCCCAGAATTTAAATGTGGGAGAACGGAAACAAATTTTCATTAAAACCAGATCTGAAACGATGTTCTGTCCTTACCTTTGAAAAGGAAGTGAGAGTAATACTTGAAGGTATTGTATGACTGCTGCATGGCAATGAAGCTGGGGTGCACCGCCTCCCCCTGCTGGCTGTCCCAGGGCTGTGCAATCAGTTGGGCCCTGAACTTGAGGATCAGGCTGAAGATGCTGTGGATGATGTTCATGACCGGTGCTGCTTTCTCTGTCAGCAAACCCCTGGAGAGTCACGAGTGCAAAGTTTAAGAAACATAGCAAGAAACTCTGAGACAACTTTTCAGACAGGCTGACATTATACACAGAAGTGGTATAGTGGCAACTTCTCCTAATGAGAGAATCATTCATTGGATTCAGACGCCTCAGATTCTGCTAGAATTTTAATGAACTTGTTACGAGAAGGCTGAATTAATTTAAGATAAAATTATGGGTGCAGAGTTTGCCACTTCGAGTTGCTGTGCATAGACGGAGCCTGATGACATGTTTTCACTCCCCTAAATTTTCAGCAATTTGTAGCTGCTGCAACCTACAATTCTGATGGTTTAAATTAGAACTGCTGTTCACAACATTGCATGAAGCTGTTTGATAGCATGTAGTTTAAAGTCCTTTTGTACAGAATGTGAAGGGTCCCAAAGCTTAGTAGGGCTGCAACCAACAACTATCTTGATTTATCAGTTGGTTCAAATGCACAAATACAGTGAGGAACAGAAGTATTTGAACACCCCGCGCTTTTGCAAGTTCTCCCACTTAGAAATCATGATTTCTAAGTTTTCCCACTTAGAAAATCGCAGGGTGTTCAAATACTTCTGTTCCTCACTGTATTAGTTGAGTGAACAATTTAATCAAATTGAAAAAACTGTACACAAATGCCAAACATCTTATTTGTACTTGTAAAATATGAGAAGCATCTGCTTTTTGTAACTGAATGTCTTTCAGTTTTTAAGTGTTGACAGGACAAGACAACGTTTAAGGACATCATTAACATTTTGATGTTTTATAGAGCAAATGATTAGCAAGTTATTGAGCTATTTGATAATAAAAATAATTGTTAAATGCAGCCCTACATTAGTCTATAACATTAAATGGTAAAAAACACACAATTACCCAGGGACCAACAGTCAAAAACCTAAACAAATTCTCCACCTCTAATGAAGCTTTGTTGGTATTTTGCTGTTAAAAAAAATACATAAACCAATTACTCTATTATTGACGATTAATTTTGTGTTGAGTAATTGATAAATTAACTTACACTTTAGACTTTGGTACCTAAGCAAAAATTGGCAGTGTATACAAGGTAAAACCATTTTGTTTAGATGCCGCATTTGATGTTGTTTCTGTTCTCTCCTGCAATAAACTGGTGAATATCACATCACCTTTTCTAGCACACAGATGACAGCAAGCATTACATTACTCTACTGCATACTGCAATCAATACTACAATATGCACATGTGCGGTTCCAGCCCTCACCTGAAGATGGCTCTGTTGAGATAATCTGCATGTGTGCGGTGGATGGCGTCCAGGTCGCTGGCTGCGGCCAGCTTGGCTGTGAACTCGCTCCAGGACACTTGCAGGATCTGGTTGGCGATGTATCCCTGTATCACCTTGACAAAATGCTGCATCTCATGTCTGTACAGCTGCAGCTGATGGAACTGCACAGAGCGACCTGCACCTTTCACCAGCGCTAAAGGAAACAAAGATGGGAGCAATGAGGTAAGGATGGAAATGACGCTCATGGGGATTTTATCTACTCCAAAGTGTTCTAAGTACAGAAAACCCCCCCACTCTCATGGACTAACTATATTCCTTTCTGACTCCAAGTCTTTTGACTCACAGTGAGGGAAAATGACCAAACATTTGCTGGTTACAGACTCTTGATCTGCTGCTCTGTATCACATAACTGTAAATCCAACATATCTGGATTTTTTTTTTCCCCTCACTGCTTGGCAATGTGTGTTCTGGAGACATTTGACGTGCATCATTTTATTTTTAGGCAACATGAATACACAGAATAAAATTTTTATAACCCATATACAGTGGGTACGGAAAGTATTCAGACCCCCTTAAATTTTTCACTCTTTGTTATATTGCAGCCATATGCTAAAATCATTTAAGTTCATTTTTTTCCTCATTAATGTACACACAGCACCCCATATTGACAGAAAAACACAGATTTTTTTGACATTTTTGCAGATTTATTAAAAAAGAAAAACTGAAATATCACATGGTCATAAGTATTCAGACCCTTTGCTGTGACACTCATATATTTAACTTAGGTGCTGTCCATTTCTTCTGATCATCCCTGAGATGGTTCTACACCTTCATTTGAGTCCAGCTGTGTTTGATTATACTGATTGACCGTGATTAGGAAAGCCACCCACCTGTCTATATAAGACCCTACAGCTCACACTGCATGTCAGAGCAAATGAGAATCATGAGGTCAAAGGAACTGCCTGAAGAGCTCAGAGACAGAACTGTGGCAAGGCACAGATGGCCAAGGTTACGAAAAAAATTCTGCTGCACTTAAGGTTCCTAAGAGCACAGTGGCCTCCATAATCCTTAAATGAAAGGGGAGAAAGTTGTAGAAAGTCAACCATCACTGCAGCCCTCCACCAGTCGGGGCTTTATGGCAGAGTGGCCCGACGGAAGCCTGTCCTCAGTGCAAGACACATGAAAGCCTGCATGGAGTTTGCTAAAAAACACCTGAAGGACTCCAAGATGGTGAGAAATAAGATTCTCTGGTCTGATCAGACCAAGATAGAACTTTTTGGCCTTAATTCTAAGCGGTATGTGTGGAGAAAACCAGGCACTGCTCAGCACCTGTCCAATACAGTCCCAACAGTGAAGCATGGTGGTGGCAGCATCATGCTATACCATACCATACCAACTTTATTTATAAAGCACTAAAAACAACCAGAGTGGACCAAAGTGCTGTACATTGCAATAAAACAATATAAATT